ACAAAAGAATTCAAAAGTTTTTTCTTTGGTAAAGAAAATAGAGAACAATATAAATTAACCAGCCTAGACCAAGAAATGATGCAGATTATAGCAGTACCTATCTCAACTGTGGTAGAGGTGAACCATCATAGAACATGCTAATTTTTGGTTTTAAGATTTTTACAATGAAATATTTTATGAGGTATTCCAGATTTGGTGTAAGACGCCAAATGCCCCCCAAAAGAAAAGCCCAGGGCACAAACTTTTCTGTGTGATCTTTAATCTGCGCTAGTGATGTTACTAAGCAGCATTAGTACTTCATTAGTAAGGGATCCAAAACAATAAATGGACTTGGTAAAAACTGCGTAAAGGAAGGATACATTGTGTAAAATAATTAGTCTAAATGATCAGTTATTGAGTAGCTTAAACTAATAAAAAAAATATCTAATTATATCATGCATATTCTAATAGGTTCATGTGTAAGAGGGACACCAATCTTAGTATGTCAATGCAAATCGAAACAAATGCAAGCCAAAGAAAAATCAACATCCTTTCTACCAATGTCCAATTGTGTGAAAGAAATGGGGGAATAATAACAAGAGGTGAGATTCTGATACTGTGAAGTAATTAGGTGACTAGCCAATTGTTCGGAAGTTACTGGTCAATTTTTCTGAGGGTGACTTCATATCATCCCTCAACCTCACTCTAATTCTTTGGCGTAGAAATTCACCTTCTATAAATTAAGGTGATAATTGAATTCCCGCCTCCAAGGAATTCAAAGTGAGGCTAAACAATAAGATTCACAAAAAACATTTCTTATTCTGTATGTTAAGAGTAATATACAGATTAGTGGTGCAAATTTTGTGGGAATAGAATACGAATTGAAGCAAACACAGCATAAGAGTTTAAGTTGATAAAAAAAAGTGTTAAGAATATTTTATATGTGTTTGATTGAATACTACAACCATGTATTTATAGATTTTTTTTTTATGAAAAAAGAAATAAACAATTAATTAATTATTTTTATATCATTTAACCTAATTTCCCTTTTCTTCAACACTTATCCTTAAGCTGAGGAATAATGTTGTCCATTCCAAGCTTATCAATAAAACCTTGAAATGCTGAATTACTCAAGCCTTTAGTTAACAAACCTGCTAATTGATAATTGGTAGGTATATATAGGATATATATTAGAGCACCGTTAAGTTTTTTTTTAACAAAATGTTTATTGATCTTGATAGTTTTGGTCCGGTCATATTACACCGAATTGTATGCAATGCTTATGGCTGATTTGCCGCCATGGTATAAGCACATGAGGTTTTTACTTAATTCTCAGATCTTCTAAAATTCTTCACATCTATAATTGTTTACATATCTTTTGTGTGATTGCTCAGAATTCTGATTTTGCATTTAATCTAACAACTAAATTTTATTTCTTACTTATCTAGGTGACTACATTGTCCCCAATGAAGGTATAGCATCCTGTGGTAGATCTTTTATTTACAGTGAACCTGTATATCAGCAACTGTATAATTTCTAGGAGCAGTTGCACTCTTCCTAAAAAAATCGTTTCTAATGACTTTTTAATAAACTATACTCTATAGGTGTTAAATACACTTCTTTCGGTGCACATTATTGATTAAGCATCACTGAAACGAGCTGTCTAATGGACAAGAACATCTCCAAAATATCAAACTTTTCTGTATGTTGCTCTTATATCCAATTGTATGGACATAGAATAGTGTTACATATTGTATACCTACATTGATAATTAAAAAAAATCGATTTAGATATCATCAGTATTCATATCATCTATCATTCTAAGTGTTACTATTTTCCCTAC